GGAAATTATCATTAACGATAGATGATATATATAGCCTTGTACTAATTCTCCTAAAATTGAAATTATTATTATTACTATTATTAAATTTGTCACAAATTTTTACAATGACACTGATAAACAATATACATAACAAGCTACAAGACAACACACGTGACTGGAATGTGGAACAGGACTTACGTCCCCATTAATACCTCACCCCATATATACTTCATAGGCACTTTCTCGGTGTGAGAACAAACGAAAGCTTAACACTAGTTCATAAATTAAAATACTGATATAGATATTGTCTAATACTAATATATATATTGTTTAATACTAATATATATATTATATATTATTATTGTCTAATACTAATATATATTTTGTCTATCTATCTGAAATTATAATAAACATTTCCCAATTGCAATAGATTAAAATTGATAGGTTCGAATTTTAAAAATTTAGAACGAGATTACTTACGGAAATTGCTGATTCCTCTTTGAGATATGCTTCTTTCATTTTTAGATGTTGCCGTTTCACCGGTACATCTTTTTCCACGCGGGTGGTTACCACGGCTGGTGCCGACCCGTGAAAACAAGCGGAAATACAGGCACCCATTTCAACACCCAAAAATAAACTCGTTTTCCACAGATCGTTTTAAAAAATAATTTTCGTACGCAACTCCTGCAAAAACGACTATAGTCAGTTTGCAGTCTGAGTTACTAATAATGAGGAGCACGCATGCATTTGTTACGTTAGTTAATTAGCACAACGGTCCAATCACAATGCGCGTGATTGATGATTCATTAGCGCGCACAAACACTGGAAAAAATGGACGAAATTTGCAATTGCACCACTAAATCCATAGTATATCCATCCTATTTCCATACTATATCCATACTATGGAAATATACAATTATTATGGATTTCGCTGACACCCAAAATTTCTAAAGTGGCTGAGGATTATATTGTCGACGGGTTCGTAAATTTTTAACGGATCAAACATACTAATATGTCCCTCTATTTATAAGCAAGTCTTCGAAGTTTTATAACTACAATGTAGTTTTACAACTACGTTCTGTTTAAATTGAGATATTAAACATATCAAGCAAGACATTTTCTCCCCAACAGTTGAGAATGATTGAATTCAATTTGCGAGCGTATTCAACAGATTGGTTCAGTTTCGAGATCCATGAATTCTCAGGATTGTGGATTGGGTGTGGATTCAGTCTAGGTCCTGCCTTTCGTTTCTGCGATGCTAACGTCTCAATCAATTCCATGGGTGCCCATCCCCCCCCCCCGGGCGTTTGTCGGGCATTTGTCATTTTGGCGAAAAAACGTTGCAAATGCCCCCACTATGGGGTTCAAATAATGCAACAAAATCCCCACCCTTGGGGACTTACATTGACGCAAATACCCCACCCTTGGGGGACAAAATATAAGTTTTCTGAGGATTTCTGATCCAAAAATTCGAATGCAAGCTCTATTTCATATCAATATATCTGTATTTAAAATCGATTCTGTAGCAATTTCGTTTCAAAACGTTTTTAATTAAAATATTGAAGTCTCAAAACTTTATATAACAATATCAAACTGCGGAAGTAAGTCAATGTATCAACAGGATGGACAAGAAAAAAGTCTAAAGTGTGTATGTCTGCCATGATTAATTCGCAATACGCACGTGCGTACTAAAATACGGCTAAATGGCGAAACAAGTGACAAATATTCGACTTTTTAGCCTCGAACAAATTCCCCACCCCAGGGCTAACCTGCAAAAAGCAAATGCCCGACATTGAGAACAAGTCCACTTGAGAATGCGCGACAAACGCCCAAGGGGTAGAGATGAGAAGTGAGAAGGAGACATAAGCGCTGGGTAGAGATGGGAAGTGAGAAGGCATAGCACAATTCACAAATCTGCCTTTCTTGGAATCATTTTCGCCCTTCGAGTGCCCCTATGTTCTACATTTTTAAATCAATGTTTTTGCTTTTATTCTTAATTTTGGGATGAAAAAAAAAAATACTTCGACTTCCAATATGAAATCATATACATGTACTGACAATTCGGGTAAGATTACTCTATGAATTTAGGACTAAATTCCCGCGGTTCAAAACATAACCGATCCAGTCACGCAGGAAGGCCTGGGACTAGGCTAGTGTTGATTATTTTGCACAAAAGGGCGTGGCTTGAAGGTAATACCACCGCACCATTGATCGAAACGAAATCAAATATCAATACAATACAATGTTTTACACCATTGTTATATAAATTTTAAAATGCACTATTGTTTTGAAATTTTATAATGATTTTGCTAAGGAAAATGAGGAAATTATATTATAGTAACCCATGGCTTACCTTGTGATTTAATGCTGAGTCAGCCTAATTAAAATGGTTTATAAAAATAATCTTAACAAGTTGTCATATCTGGATACAAACTTTACAATAAAATATTAAATAGCAAATTTTCACGGTGAAATTCGTTTGATTACATGGCATATAGAAAACAAATAAAAAACAACCGAAAACCGACTAATCCACGAGCCAACGGCGCGGGTACTAGTTCCGCCCAGCTATTATAACCCCCGGGGAAAGGAAAGCATTGACGAAGTCTAAAGTTCATCAATAATCGCGGGCGTGGGTTACTGTGCATGGGTTGTCATCCTCACTGATCTCAAAATATAGCGGACTGTCTTGAATAGGGAACACTGATTGGTCCAATTTAAAATTGGCATTATAACGACTGTATAACGACAGCGAAATATTTCTTGATTTGATGACTTCTTAGTAGTAATAGACCCCACTCTGGAGACCTACGGGATGCCGCCAATACCGTCACAATAGTGTCACGTCACCAAGTTGCATTACCAATCAATCGGCTCGTACAGGGTTCTCGTTACCATTAGGCTGCGTAATGTAACCACAAAAGCGAAATTTTTATCTTACAAACCGCAAGTAATTATCAATATGAAACTTGATTTTCCGAAGCTAGTCTTTTTAGTACTCAATTAACTCACAACATTTCAAGAAACGTTTCGAAGAAAAGGTTTACTCCGCTTGTCACGTCATTAGATTAATTATAATAGCAAGATGGCGGACTGGACAGTGTTTTGGTCAAAATATTTCGAAAAGCAAGGAAGGTACGAAAAAGTTGGAAAAGGGTCTTCATATACATCTTTAATTAAAAGTTCTTTCAAATAAGACAAAGTTAATTTTATTGCCATATCCCTTTAAGCCCCCGCTCCCCCAACTCAATGTTGAGCTTGTGTCATGGTATATTACCAAAAGTTGTTTCGGCGTTGTTTACAACATTGAACTGGGAGAGAGGGAGAGAATTTTGTTTCGTAAATGGTTCAATAACTTGGCAATATTGGCTGGATTAATGGTCTCAAAAGTTTTGTTCAAGATTGCAGCTGCTAGCCTACGTGAAACAGACCAAAAAATCTTAAAATTTTACATAATCCAAATAGTTTTTTGGTTAGATTAGTTTGCCACTAACCTATTTTTAGAAGTCTTTTGGCATGTTTGTTATGTTACGCATCATACCACTATAGTTAATGGGTTTTCATGCATGTGTGCAGGATTATCACGTACTGCCTCTGTGGCGATGTGTTATATATTAACAATGCTGAATATATACCATATAATATTTTTATACTGTCGAATTCTCTATGCGCGGACATCTTTCTAATACGGACATCTCTTTATTCCGGCACCTCTCTAATGCAGACACCTCGCTAATATACGGTGACCTCTGTCATAGGCATAGGATACCTCCCTGACTATACGGACATCTCTCTTTTATAGGGTCACCTCTCTAATACTGACACCTCTCTAATACGGACACTACTCTAATACGGACATCTCTTTATAATTAATAATTACTGAATACTTAGTTCCAACAATAATGATCATCTACTTTGTTTGAAATATATAGATCATTAAACTCCGTAGGCCGGATCAGTTTACAATTGCAATATAAATGTTTTTATACATCCTTCTGTATACTTAACGTTAGCAGTTCGAGCCGTGATAATAACTCAATGTTCAAATGTTTTTCTAAAAGGTTGAGGGAACAGCCTTTTGGTCTAACGTAGGGCTAAGGCTAATTCTAAGTTGTTTGTTTTGCCAGTAGATAGTATAGAGCTCTTTTTGTTGTCTTGTTCACTCGGTAATATGATAAAGGTGAAATATTCTCGAGTGAGTAGCTCAGTTGGTAGAGCATGGATCTAGTAACTCGAAGGTTGCAGGTTCGAAGCTTACTATATATTTTCTACTCTTTGCTATATATTTTCTTTGAAATGGTTCATGAAATGTCGAAAAGTGCCCAATATATATTCATATATGTATTCATTTATTTTGCAAAACGATGAAAAATTTAAATCCTAAGTAGTTTTAAACGTCGTCCAGGATCAGTTTACAATTGCAATATAAATGTAATGTAATGTATAATGAAGTTAATAGAAAAAGGTTGAAATTAATAGAAAAAAAGTTTGAAAAATTTTGGGATATAGTTCGTAGAATTTCCGGATGAAATACATTCGTTTGGACTTTTAATACAAACAATAATTCTCAATTTTATTCGAAAATTCTTCACATCAAGTACAAAACAAAAAATACATAATCTACAAAAGTCACGCCGTACTTTCAGTCATGTGACTCGGCTCCTGGACCTCGTGATTACTACCAGGGATTGAACCCATTGATCAGGGATTGATGGAATATGCAGCTAATTCAATCAAGGCTGTCTTTCCAAAGACATAAACATTAAACTCAGAGCGCGCAAGGGATGACGGGTTATTGCTTTTTTAGACTTATAAACTTTGAAATCTGGCTTTGCAAAAATGTCTGAGACATTGCAGGGTGTCTGAAAAAACGCTATGGAAATTCAACAGGCTGTTGTGCATCACAAACTTAACTACAAACAATTCAATTTTTACATAGGACGAAAGAGCTGTTATTTAGCTTTTCTATGATACCTTTCTTAAACCGTAACGTTGAGAAATGGCCACATACTCGTCAAATAAAAATTGTCGGTCGAAATCACATTCTTCCTCCGCTGGGAATTGAAAATACATTAATTACGCAAAGTTAATCAATCCAAAAGCAACGCGAGCCTGCTGCAAGGTATTTGTTTCGTAAAACGTTTTGATTACGAATGTTCTCTGTTCAGTGGTTAATTGGACCATGTTTAATTAATGCAATAATGGACGTTCTTATTGTCTCACTAAGACGAAGATTGACGAGTTGAGCTCATTTTAGATAATTTAACATTCAACTTTAATTCCCTCTTGGGAAATGTCTAAGTTTCGTTTTACATGCAATTCGCAACTGTGGAAGAATGTCATTTCGACCGGCAATTTTATTGACAAGTATGTGGCCATTTCTCATCGTTACGATTTAAAAAGAGTATCATTGAAAAGCTCTTCTTTCGTCCTATGTAAAAATTGAATTTTTAACCACGTTTAACATGCACGACAGCCTGTTGAATTTCGATAGCGTTTCTTTTGAGACATCCTGAATAGAAGACTCACGACAGAAAACATACTAGCTGGAAAGGCAATTTTCTGAGTTTAAGGGCTTAATAGGTGAATATCTATCATCCCTTGCGCGCTCAGAGTCTAAGGTTTAAGGTTTTGGAAGGAAAACCTTAATTGAATCAGCTGTAACTAACATCGACAACCAATTCAAACAAAACATATACTTCTCGATACATACAATACATTAATAAAATGGCTGTCTTTTCTAGTCACTCGTGATAGCTGCTGGTCGTCGTCCTGGTTTTCCTCTACTGTTCATAACTGTAGGTGTTGCATCTTCCGCGTTGATAACAACACATGCCACGTTGCTATATCAGCCACACTCAAATCTTTGACATTAGAAACTCCAGAAATTGCTACAGGTTCCTGATTACATTCAACTGGAACAAGATATTCAATCGATCGCTTAAGCCTAAAAAAATATCTGTGGTTCCGGTTCCGGACCGACCCTATTTTTTTCTGCCGACCCTATTATTTTTTTCAACGCGATCGACCGTGCGACCCTATTATCTCCGGGTGGTTGCGGGCTGCTCATACAGTGTGCCAAAATGGCGTCTGTTGTCACACTAATTATTGAAGCAAATTGCCTAAATTTATCCATAGGAACTACGTATCCATAGTTAATATTGATGTCGGGACTCTACTGCAAATCGCCCAGCAAAAAAACGCCAAAACTATGAAAAAAAATATTTAAAAAAAAATTATTTCCGACCTACCGACCCTAATTTTTTCACGATATGAAACTGGAACCACGGTATTTCTTTTTAGGCCTTAATTTCTGAAATCCTACCACAGCTCCTAATCATTTCCTTTATTTGCCCAACTTCCACGTGTTTCTTGGAAATATATCCTCCTTAACAGGAACGATATCTCCTTCTTTGACAGCAGCTTTTTTTGCTGATTTGTTGCTATCCCTGGCGCGTTGATGGAATAGCCAAAGTTCCGTTCCGATGCTACCACCCAAGCATTTACCATCGAGTGGACACTCTTCTTCCTGTAGTTACACATATTTTTAGTTTCCTGTGATCCATATTTTACAAATGCCAAAATGATAAACAAATGAAGAATATTAAGAAAAAATTACAGTAATACCTTTCTGGTGCTTCCAATATCGAGTAATATGAACTGAGGTATAGTTTTCGCGTTCCATACTCCAATGAATGCAGTTGCATTGTTGACGTATTAAGAAAGAAAAAAAATTGAATTGTTATACTATAAAAAATAATTTACAGCTATCAATGCTTACAATACACATATATAGTCAAATAAATCTAGCATGAAAATGAAATGGTGAAGATCAAAACGTTTACGGAACGTTTTGAATTTGCAGGCTAATAACCAGGGAGCGAGGGTTTGACCGTAATTGCGTGCAAAATAAGCAAACTTTTCATGCTAAAAAGTTTGCAAAAGTTTCCCTGGTATCGATGTATTCTTTTATGTATATAAAAATACATTAAGAATATAATATTCTGTCTGCTACGAATATATAGTATATATATTTTCAACCATTTTCCATACATATCTCTATATATAGTTTAATGATTTTCATGCCAACCATTCCAATTAGAGAATTCATTGGCATCATGAGCATGTCAATTGTTGTGGAGACTAAAGGCTCCATGTTGTATTGAGCTGAAAATCGTAATACAATAAGCAAACCACTCAAAAAATGGATTCTGCACAGCTTGCAAACATTTTCACGTTATTTATTATGACGCAATATTCTATCATGATTCATGCTGCAACAACCAAAGTACGTAGCCTACTATATGATGTCAGGGTTCGAATTAGGGAGAAAAAGTCGACTCGCAATTTTTTGGAGGAAAATTTTCAGATTCTTGCCCGCAAAATACCGAATAATAGACATCTTAAATACATATACATGCATACATACATACAAAACTTTATTTAAACCACGCTAGCCTCAACAACCGTGGGAAGGCTGGTTTCCATGAGGGGCGTGAAATTACCTATTTACAAGAAATTAACTACTTACAAGAAATACAAAAATAAAACAAAAACAAAATACTGGTGATTTTAGCTGCACGATTATACACAAGCAAGATTCAACTCATTTTTTGTTTTAATGTCGATTTGAAAGAGCTCAAGGATTCAGCAATTTTTGCCTCATTGGGAAGATTATTCCAATGCAAGGCACCATTATAACTGAAGCACCTCTTGCCGCATTCTTTTTTTGGCATAGGTGGTGTTAAATCAGTATCCCTATTTCTAAGATTGTAAGTATTATGTCTTTCATTATTAAATTGAAATGTTTCTTTAAGACTGGGTGCGGTGTAGCCATTCAGAATTTTATATGAAAATAGATTTAAGATAATTTCGTCTTTCTTCGAGAGGTTTCCAATTTAGATTATCGAGTAACTCAGATGACCGAATATCGTAAGTTGCCCCAGTAATTACTCTTGTAGCACGATTTTGGTATTTTTTCAACCTATCTTTCAGCCCAATTCCGCAATTATCCCATAAGGGGCTGCAATAATCGAAATAAGGCTGTATAAGAGCATATTAGTGGTACAAAACGACAGTGGTACAAAAGGTTCAACGCGTCTCATTGCACCAATACGGGCACCAACCTTAGAACAGATAGAATCAATATGTTTATCCCAAGACAACCTTTCGTCCATATTCACGCCAAGGCATGAATATTTATTAATTCTGGCCTTCTGGGTATTAGCTTATTATTAATTAAAATAGGATTACCAGATACTTAATTTATTCTTAAGGTTATAGGGAGGTCCAATGAACATATGTTTCGATTTACTGGGCTGAATTTGAAGTTTGTTTTGTATCATCCATTTGCGTATGTTTTCGGAAAGGAAACTAAAGTGGCCATGTAATAAAGGAAACTAAAATGGCCATGTAACTAACCTAATCCTACCACTACTCTAACCCCTAACCCTAACCCTAACCCTAACCGCAACCCGAACTCTAACCCTAACCGAATTAACAAAAAAATCCAAAATGAAACGACTTTAAAAATCGATAGGGCGGTTTGCTGGATGGAAAATAGTGCTAACCATTTGGCACAGATTTTGACTTCAAAAGTATCTTGATTTTATCTCGAATTGGCTGTCTTGTTTTCTCGCTATTCTACTTGCGAAATTATTCCGAAATTATCTATCAACTTGGATTTATCTTCATCTTGTTGTTTGTGATGTTACTCTGAGTGTATATCCACACCGGGCGAGCTTGAAAAATATGCC